ACCCTCTAGGCCCAATATCGAGTTGGCCGTGAGTCATACCTGTCAGAACTCCTTCTAACTTAGTGAATTATTATCTCTGTAATAATTCATTCGACTCATCGACTACGGACGTACTAGGCCACTACGTCGTAGTCCCTAGATGATACAGGGGAATCCAATCCATTGGACCTGTCTGTCCTCAGTTACCGTGTACCTATAGTCCCTCACCCATCTAATCTCCTAAAGACCGTATATCAAGCATGGTGATGTCAGACCCATATGGTTTCTACTCGAGTCTCGCTCTAATCGGATTCCCTCAAAGAACTCTTTCTCTCTCGACCCGAATGATCCTGGCCAGAGATTTGTTTGAGCAAGAACACATCGGATATTCCTCTCATGACGCCGAGAGTGGATGATCCTCTATCGACACTCAATAGCCCTCTTAAGGTCGACTACCACTCCCAATGACCAACTGTACTAGATCTGGGACAGCCAAACCTATAAGTCTGGTATCAAAGAGTGGAGCACTCATACAAGACATCCCTGGTGTCTCAAGTCTAAGGACCAGATATACCACTAGGACTATGGAGTCATTGTCTGACAATAAGGCATCATCAACCATCCAGCATTCCGTAAGCGGATCAATCAGTGAACTCATTCTCCAATGAGCACCTGTACTGTATCCCTAGTGTCCCTACACGAGCAGCTATCAGACCAACTGCATCCATCATATGGATGGGTATACAGCACACCAGTCTGTCCGGTTATCATGATGTCCCTCTCGAGTAACCTGTGACCGGGATTATTTAGGATTTGTGTTTAAAGGTGAATCGATCTCATTATCGTGATCTCATCACGATCCGATTCACATTGCACAAATCCAAGGACATCACAATATATATATATGCATATATGCAATAGTTATAAAGTGATATGTGCCAAAATATAATAAGCAAAAAGATTTTGTATCAAGTCACACGTGCCATCACTCACGTGATTGGCTTGCTGGGCACCTATGACTAGCAGGAAGAACCAGTGCTCAAATTGTCAGACTTTGGGGAGCCCTTCGAAGTCCATACAGATGCTTCAGACTTCACTATTGGGGGAGTACTCATGCAGGAGGGTCATCCGGTGGCCTATGAGAGCCGCAAACTCAATGAGACCGAGCGGTGATATCCGATACATGAGAAGGAGATGACAGCGGTGATTCACTGTCTATGAGTTTGGCAACACTATCTTCTTGGATCGCGATTTGTACTAAGGACAAACAACATCGCTTTGAGCTATTTCCAAACTCAGAAGAAACTCTCCCCAAAGCAGGCACGATGGCAGGACTTCCTAACTGAGTTTGATATGGTAATGGAGTATAAGCCCGGAAAGATAAATGTCGTGGCCGATGTATTGAGTCGGAAAGTAGAGCGTGTGAATGCCGTACAATTGGAGGGAAAAGGCCAAGCAAGTCAATTACACTCCAACTTCCTTTCCAGGATCAGGGATGGACTGTACAGTGATCCCCAAGCAGAAGCCCTGATACAGCTCATTAAAGAAGGCAAGGCACGACGATTTTGGGTCCAGGAGGGACTCGTTTATACCAAAGGGAATAGAGTCTATATTCCTCGAGTGGACAATCTGAGATGTGAACTCTTAAGAGAGTGTCACGATTCCCTTTGGGCTAGACACCCAAGCATTCATAGGACCTTGGCTCTCGTGGAGAGGGCTTTCTATTGGTCGAAGATGAGGACTAATGTAGAGGAATATGTTCGAACGTGCCTACTTGCCAACAATATAAGGTGGAGCAACGAAAACCGGTGGGACTTTTGGAGCCGTTACCCATACCAGAAAGGCCGTGGGAGAGCATTTCCTTGGACTTTATATCAAGCTTGCCCGTAATAGGGAGACTCGGATCGATACTCATGGTGGTTGATCGATTTTCTAAATATGCAACTTTCATTGCTGCTCCCCTACATTGTTTAGCAGAAGAGGCAGCCAAGTTGATGATGAAGGATGTGGTGAAGTATTGGGGAGTCCCGCACAATATCATCAGTGATCGAGACGCTTGGTTCTTAGGACGATTCTGGACCGAGCTATTCAAATTGTTGGGGTCGAAGTTAAACTTCTCCACAAGCCTCCACCCCTAGATGGATGGCCAGACTGAAAGGATAAACTCGCTCCTAGAGTAATATCTTCGGCACTACGTGAGTACCAACCAACGAGATTGGGTGAAGTTGTTGGACATTGCCCAATTCTCCTACAACTTGTAGCGGAGCTCTACGTCCAACAAGAGCCCCTTTGAGATCATTTACAGGGCAACAACCGTTAACTCCTCATACCATGGTAATTGGGTATACTAGGAGTAGTCCATCAGCATACCACTTTGCAAGGGAGTGGCAACGAAATACAGATATTGCACGGGCTTACTTGGAGAAGGCGGCAAAAAGAATGAAGAAGTGGGCAGACTTGGGAAGGCGACCGCAAGAGTTCAAGATTGACGATTTGGTATTGGTCAAGCTCTAACCAGCATCACTCCAATTCTTTAGGAATAAAGTACATAAAGGATTGGTGCGCAAGTATGAAAGGCCCTTCCCAATTATCAGCAGGGTGGGCAACGTCTCCTATAAGTTGCAGCTACCGGCATGGTTCAAAATTCACAATGTTCTTCATACCCGCAACTTAAAAGCCTAGCACTCGGATCCATAAAATGCTTCTCGAAGTGTTCCAACTCGGCTACCCCCCACCACAGCCTCCTAGGAGAAGCGAGTTGAAACCATTTTAGCCGATCGCAAGATAAAGTTACCCATTGGAGCTGAGCAAACCAAGTACTTGGTGAAGTGGCGAAAGCTTCCCCGAACTGAAGCTAGTTGGGAGCCTGAAGATGCCCTACGACATGAAGAAGCAAGCATCAACAACTATCAACAAGCGTCGATGAGGGCGTTGACAGTTTGAGTGGGGGAGAATGTCACGAATGGTCGTCGTGCACCCGCAATAACTCCGTTCAATAAACCATTCGTCGCTCTAATCTACATGTACAACTGCTTGGCAGCATGTTTTGGCTTGGTTTTAAGTCCTTTTGCTTGGTTTTAAGTTCGAACAAGTTGTTAGCACTACAGTGCAACCACTCACCGAACCGAGCAAAAGAGCCCCAAAACAGCTTCGTTTTTGCGTGCCACGGGCTGATTTATATAGCCCGCTACTGCACGCGAAACGTCAGCCATCTCAGCACCCTGGAGCCCTCAGGTGGCATAGAGTTGGATGGGGCTTCGGTATAGTGTCGGGTGCTGAACAACATTTCGCAAGTTCGCACGTTACCTTGATGAGAACTTGTTGTCGCGCCCGGCACTGGGTGAGCAGCTTGTTTGTGGACTTGCAGCTGTTCGTTCAACCTTCTAAAGTCCTTGTTTTCTCCCTCTCCCCTTTTTCTCTTGTGCACGTAGGGTGCTCGCTGAATTGCTTGTAAAGCTTCCCCTTTTCGCGAGACGTCGGGACTTATCCGTCGCTCGTTCTTCGAACTAATCAACTTTCTCTTTTTACAGGTCCTTCGGGACCTGCGAGAGGTTGCAAGTGGGCTGATCTTTGCGGACGCAAATCGTAAAGGCGAAGCGCGACTTAGGCAACGTAAGTTAAGTTCGTGTCTTTGCCGCAAGGGTGCCTCACGACTTAGGCAACGCAAGCTAAGTTCGCGTCTCTGCCGCAAGGGTACCTCACGCCTTAGACAATTCCAGCTAAGGTCGTGACAAAACGACGAACAAGACCACCGACAACTCAACATTAGAATTCTGCCTTCTTGCGATCTTCACATTTGTAATATTTTCTAATCTTAATGTAAAAAATATATCGACAAATGACGAACAAGACCACCAACAACTTAACATTAAAATTTTACCTTCTTGCGATCTTT